TGGCTTATGCCTATAATCCTACCTACTCAGGAGGCTGAGATATGAGGATTGAGATTCAAAGACAGTTGGAACAGGAAAGTTCCTATGAGACTCTTGAGTTAAACACTCAAAAACCAGAAGTGGTACTGTGGTAGAGCACTAGCTTTGAGCAAAAGAGCTCAGGGACAGAACCCAGGTCCTAAGTTCAAGCCCCACAACTGACCAAAAAAAAAAAAAAAGAAAGAAAGAAATTGGAAACAGAAGGAAGACACAAAATTGACCAAGACACTTGTACTAGTAACCTGACTTATGTCATTGTAACCTTTTTGTAAAACTACAAGTTTTAATAACAGCTACAATTTCAGTAACACTTAAACAAAATAGAAAACAAAGATAATATACCCAACCAAAGAAGCAGAAAAAGCCTTTAAGCAAAAGCTGGTCACCAGTGGCATACACCTTGAATGCTAACTAGTGAGGCAGTTGAGATCTGAAGACCACTGTTTGAAACCAGCCCTGGCAGACAAATCCAAGAGAGTCTTACTTCTTTTTTTTTTTTTGGGGGGGGGGGAGGGAGGTGGTCCTGAAGCTTGAACTCAGGGCCTGGGCACTGTCCCTGAGCTTCTTTTGCTCAAGGATAGTACTCTACCACTTGAGACAGCTTTTTTTTTGTTTTTTACTTCCAGTTTTCTGTGTATGTGGTACTGAGAAATCGAACCCAGGGCTTCATGCATGTAAGGTAAGCACTCTTCCACTAAGCCACCTTCCCAGCCTGAGATTCTTAGTTCTAAGTAGCTATCAAAAAACCCAGAAATGGAGGTGTGACTCAAGTAGTAGGGTACTAGTTTTGAGCAAGAGTCCTGAGTATCAGTATCAGTACAATCAATCAATTAATAAAATAAATCATATTCATGTCAGAGCACAAATTAGAATTGTAGACCAACTGACCACAATCACTGCCTTAACAGCCCTGAGCATTCAAACCATCAGCAGCTCTGCTTTCCTCTTCATTGATTTGGAAATCAATCCCTGGTTACATATTATAGGAAGTGGTCTATTCTAAATTTGTTAGAAATGTCCTGGCTTGCAACCATGATGGCCCTAGTCTTTGTCACTGGGACTAGAATCTGGTCACTGGTCTCTCATAATTTTTGTTATTCATCCTGTCAACAATTATAAAACAAGAAAGTTTTACAAGTTTCTTATGGTGACAAACCACTTACAGTTTTTCTTCTTACCTCAAAGGTAACAAGACATAAAGGAATTATCCAAATATTTTGATGAGCAATTAAAACCTACAACTATATACTTTTCTTTCATTTCATTCAGTCCTTCCTTATCTCCCCAAATAGCAATCATGAACACAGTTGTGAAGAGTCCCAACTCTGATAACCAGTAATTTTCTCTCTCATAGTTCAGACAGAAAATGTACACCACTGACAAAACAGGACAGAGTAAAAGGCAGGCCATGTGACACAGTTTTCTAAGTGACAAGAATGAAGCGTTACAATTTTTAAGCAGTAATCCTGTCCTCATAAGAGACCTCGTGGAAAGTATTCATTCATGCACATACAGAATGGTACTAAAAGTTTCTTCATCTTCCACAGAAAAAGAAACTTCTGAAAACAACCTGGTTGTATTTGCTTTTGCATTCACTGACATAAAAAATAACAAATTTTCTCTTTTCTTTTCCGGGGTATTTATTTTTTATTGTTGAAAATACGGTTTCACTATGTAGCCTCAAATTCACAATCCTCCTTCCGCAGATTCCTGAGGTGCCAGTATTTTAGTCATGTACCAAACCCATCACGTGGTGGATATTATTGAAACTATGAACTTTTGTTGTAATCAGAAGGTCACTGTAAATAACTGTTATGGAAATATTATCTTTAATGCAAATGATATTATCTCCAACTACTTAAGCCTATGTTAAACCCTGTCTTCCACAACCACAATAGTTACAGCCAATATCCTGTTTGGCAACACATCACATTGGTTTGTCTCTACTTGTTTCATCTGTATAATCATATGTAGGACAGAGATCCATTCTGAGAAAGCCTTCATTAGGAGATCCATTGTGGAGATACCATACAGTGTACTTACTTATACAAACTAAGATGGCTTCCACCTCACTAGGTAATATAATGCTACACAACCAACTTCATATCTATGGTGCATTGTAGACCAAGATGACTTAAGGTGGCACATGACATACCTTGTTAAAATAATCATCTCGAAAGATGATAACTATTCTTTACCTAACCCTAATTACTATATGATGATACACAAGGCTACATAAACTTCATTTGAGAAACCAATGTAAACCAGGAGCTGGTATAATTTAGGTTACATGCTTGTAACTTTACTCAGGATGCTGAAATCCAAGGATCACAGCTGGGCAGAAAAGTCTCTTACCTCCAAATAACAGGGAAAATCCAGCAGTGAAGCTGGGAATCAGTGGCTCACACCTTTAATCCTAGCTATTCAGGAGGCTGACATCTGAGGCAGGAAATCCAGTGATACTCGTAGGTCCAATTAACCACCAGAAATAGAGCTATGGCTCAAGTGGTATAGTGCTAGTCTTGAGCACAAAAGCTCAAGAATAGAGCCCAGACCCTAAGTTCAAACCCCATGATCAGCGCGCGTGCACACACACACACACACACACACACACACACACACACACACACACACAATCCAGCATTGGAGGTATGGCTCAAGTTGTAAGCACCAGCCTGAAGTGAAAAGGCAAGAAAGAGATCAAGGCCCCAAAATTTAAATTCTATCACAAAACAAACAAACAAGAAAACAAAAACCAGTGTAACACACACATGATTTCCAGGGCTTTCTGAAGAGTTTCTGTACTTAGGTCAACCCTGTGAATCCAAATATTGACAACAAAAAAGAAGTTTGGGGAAACTCTAAATGAAAACATCACCAAATTCCAAAAATAAATCAAAGGAATTAAATAATAATCTGGAAATTGTTTCCTTTATTCTAATTATTGTAACTGCCACTAATCCTCCTCCATCCCATCACCTCCTCTTTCTGCGCAGCACACACACTACCAAATTAAATGGTGAAAAAGAAAAGGATAATTCATTCATTCACAACATTGTAAGAGATAAATTATATCAATGTGCACTTTGCCCAGATTTTCCCTTTAAAGTATTAAAAGAAAGGATAAGAAGGGAGAACATGAGTGTATTAAAGATTATTGCCTACCAGTGACAGTTACATACTAGCAACTTTTGTCCTATATTATTATTACACATACTTTACGCATGAAGCAATCAAAGCTTAATGAATTTAAATATTAGAGCCAAAGTCTAAGTTTCTTTTTTAGACTCAGGTAATTTGTTCCACAGTTTAGTAATTCATTTAGAAAACATTGAATCCAGCCATGGCAGCATTCATCTATAATCCCAACACTTGGAAGGCTGAAACAGGCAGGTGTTCCTGTTCCAGGCCAACTTGAGCTACATAACCAGACCCTCTGAAAGGGGGTGGCAGGAGGAGAGATAAGATATGCAGGAGAGGGTGGGTGGAAGGGAAGGAGTGTTCATTTTAAGACAGACACTACTAAATAGTGTTAAGTAGACCAAGAAGCTCTCTTCCACAAACCTTACATTCCTGAGATGGAAGACAGAAAACAAATAACCAGACAGACTGTAACAGTTTGCCCATGATGTACAATGATAATCAAATCTCTAATTATAAGATTAAATAGTTGCAAAAACTAAATAGGGGTGTAAGACTCATTGAAAACTGGTAACACTGTGTCCCTCATATTAATTAATTACTAAAGTAAGCAACTAAATCTTTCATCAAACCAGAGAGAGGGAAAAGGAAAAACTCCTATGCTAGTTAGAATTTCTTTGTAATGTAATCTGAAGGTTCAGCTCCAACCATCCAGATTCTCAACTCTCCCAAACCATTATTCACTAAGGTACAACTGTAACTTTGCGGAGTTGGATTGTTCAAATGAAGGGAGTGTGCTGACTTGACATCATGCCTCTTTCATGAGAAACGCAAGTTTCAACATCCACTCGGTAAGGTTTCTACACACTGCTCATAGTACCCACTGGGCAATGGTCTCTGGCTCACACGTGATGGCCACATGAGCGGTGGGTTTCACCCACAAGAGTGGTCAGTGAAAGTCCCAGTGTGACCATAACCAGCCATGACCCACCTTCCACATTCCAGAAAGTCACCCCACATCCCTTCTACTCGGAAGTACGCAAAACCCTGCTTTAAGCTGTTAAGATGGTGCTTAACCAACTTCCTTCCCTCACCTATTTGCATACATGGACTAGATTAGCGTTTGGCTGTTGCTATGGCTTCCTGTGTGGTTCTGCCATGTGTGATGTGTAGCTGGTGTTGCCCCAGTCTCCGATCCTTTGTGAAACTCGGTGTCTGTAAGTTCCTTTGGGACTGGTGGGGAGGGCGGCTGCAGGAGGGAACACGGCACAAGGTGGGAGATGCCCACAGACGCGGCTGCTAAGAATGGCACCTTCCTGCCAAAGCACTCGGCAAATCTATCCTAGCTGGAGAGCCGAGGCCGTGTTCAACTCCCCAGCGTACTTCGTCGCACCCCTCCGAGTTTCTCCGAGAAGCCTCCGTCCCCTTCCAGAATGGCTCCCACCCCAGCCTGGCGCGCGAGCGAAGATCCTTCACCTCCCACGAGCCACATGCACAAGCTAAAAGTTTGCATCCAGTTTCACTGGCGTCCACTTTTCGAAGTCTTCATCAAATGGATTTTGCTCTACTTCCCACCCAACTGTAATGCTCAACCCTAAACACGAACTAGTCCATCTTCGGCTGAAGACGGGGCGGGGTGGGGGGACCAAAAAACCCAACCACCTCCGAATCTCGGCCCATTTTCCCGCCACCACCTCGGCAAGACCCTAGCTCCACCGATCGCGGGGTTCAGGAAAGGACCACTCTTCTCCCCAGCCCCCCCGGGACCCCAAGGGCGAAGAAGCGGGGGTGGGGTGGGGGGGTACCCAGCAAGCACACACCTCAGCTCAATCCTCACGCGCGAGTGGACGGCGGCAGGAGCCCCAGGTTCCTCCAGCCAGGGCGCAGTGGCCTCCCCTCCCCGGAATCAGAGACTCGGCCTGGGGCTGGCGGCGAGGCGAGCCGGGTTGTCACTCGGGTCAGGCGGGGCCAGAGTAACCCGACACGCCCGGCGCGGCGCGCCCGCCCCCCGGGCGACTTCCTCCTCCCCCTCGAGTCCCTCCTCCCTCTTCCCCCCCCCCCACCTTCTCGTCCCCTCTCCCGAGGCCAGACCTGCAGGCCCGGCTGCCGCGTCCCGCCGGGAGATCTGGGGCCTGGCCAGGCTCCACCGGCCTGGAACAAGCACGCGGATGTGGAGACTGGAATTGGGGCACAAGGGTGGGGTTTGGGAGATGCTGAAAATGGGGGGGGGGGAAGGGGACTATTACAACGGTGCGGCGGACGGGCGAGCCAAACAAGGCTCGCCCCAGAAACCTAACTACGCCGGGACCCGGCGACACAGGTCCCGCCTCGTAGGGCCGCGCCAAGGCCTGCGTCCCAAGGCTGCTGTTCCGGTTTTGCGCCCCGGACTCCAGACCCTCGCCCCGCCCGCCTTGCCAGTTGGCCAGCAGATGGGAAAGCCCGGGCTGAGCTAGGCCAGAGAAGCCGGGGTGGAGGAGGCCGATTTGCTGCGCCCTCCCCCTGCGGGCTGCCCACGCCATCTGCCCGGGAGACCGTGGAGACGCTCTTCCACCTGCGTGCCGGTGACACGGGCTTACCTGGTTTTCGTCGCCCCGCCGCAGATCTGGCTTTTGCTACTCGCACCTCCCGGTAGGCCGGCGTCCCTGGGCCTAGAAACGCTTCTAGGAGGAGGATGAAGCCCCCCAGGGACCAGGCCTGCGGAACCCAAAGCCTTCACCCGGGCTCCCCACCCCACCCCACTCCCGCGCGCGCTCCCAGGGCGCGCCAGGCCTCCTGACCCCGGACTTGAATGTCAGCACGGGGACCCGCAGAGAAGACCAAGCTCAGTCACCAGGGGTTGGGATGCTGAGCATGGACTCCTAGGGCCCAGCCTCCTACAGGTGGGGGGGGGGGGAGAGGTAGAAAGCCCCAACAGCTGAACTGCAGGCTTTACCCCAAAACCGACCCTGCCCACTGAGCATGCCCAGCTAACTACAGGGGCAAGGCGAGCCTGGGGGGGGGAGCAAGAAAGGGATTCTAATGGGACCCACAACCTTAAGACTTTTTTTTTTCTTGGTAATACTAGTACTACCAAAGTCTAGGGAAATATATAGAAAATGGTCCCAACGAAGTTCAGAATAAGAGAGCCAAAAGAGTTGGAAGGAAAATAAAAGTAATTTGAAATCGCTCCTTATTAAGTCGTTGTTAGAATGTTCTTAAGCATTACAGAATTCCCACAGTTGACCCATAGGAATGTGTTCATGAACTTTCAAATGGTAATTTATAAGGCCTAAGTATAGGGTATCCAGAGAAACAACTGCTCTTAGCCTTGGGCCCGAGATAAAAAGTGAGCAGCTAAAATGACCAATCCCTAATTTTCATCCCTGAATCCACGGAATGAATCTGGCATTGGTATCTGGGAATCTTTATATAACGCTGCATAGAATAATAATCTGTGACTCACCCTGTATAAATGCAACGTGACCACTGAGCCCACTGGGGGCTCAGCCTCAGCAGCATCTGATAGAAATACAAATTCTCATCTGCACTCCAGACTCATCAACGGCAGCAGTTAAGGCTCCCAGGTTTAATAAACCTTAAGGTGAATCTGATAAAATACTAAAATTCCTCTAGGTATTCTAGTGGAGAAGAACCCTTGTAATAAACACTACTTTTTTTTTAATTTATTTAACCACAAACATTTACCTAGCAGTTAGGTTTGTTTCTCCAAAAACAAATAATCTGGTCCAATCAAGTGCCAGTCCTGTACTTGCTAATTCTCATGGGGCAGTTCAGTTCTTGGAACATGGGGACCATCTGTCATTCACCTTTGACTCTGGTGCCTATAATAGATGTTTGTTTATTGACTTGATATCAGTGCTTAGGTGAACAAAATTTGTCTTAGGATTTATTGTGATTGCTATTCACTAGCCACTAATAAGTCTTGGCCTCCTCTCACATTCTAGAGCTGACTTGGACCTGGGAGGAGGAGAGGAAAGTCAAAAGCACTGGACAATACCTCATTTGACAAAGTTGGACCCTACAGTAACAGAAGAAAGCAGAACAGTAAACATCCAAAATGATTCAGCAATAGCACACCTGAACAGCCCATAATTTACTCTGACTCCTTTTCCCAAAACCACTTGTCTCTGCTCTATACTTACCCACATTCTGTATATACATCCCATCTCAATGTATTGTCCAGCAAAAAATGAAGAAGAAATTGTTATACAGGAGCTTTTTTTCATTTCCTAGATAAAATATTGCTGACTTATAACTACTTGGCACAACTTATTGAGAACACATCCAAATTTGATTTAAAAAATTTTTAACTTTCAAAATTCAGAGTTTTATGATAGCTATACTTCAAATTCCCATAAAATCTTAGAAAATCAAAAGCTATTCTTTATTCCACAAGTATTTTCCAAAGGGAATAAAATATAAAAACACATTTCTTTTAACTGACTACATAATACTTTGAGATGTTTTTAATACTTTCTAGGAGTACAGATAGAGCTTTCTGCACCATATCTCTGCCCCTGTCTTGAAAGACTTGAAGGAGTGAAATATCCAAGAGGTGCCTACTTTCCCATATGTCAAAGCAATTTCCTATCATTATTAAAATAATTTCACAGGGAGAAGGAGCATTATTAATTTAGGATTTGATCTTCTGAGCTATTACCTTCAATCCACAAACAATATTTTTTAGGAAAAACAACACATCTTTTTGACACAGGCATTTGCTACTGCTGCTTTTTGCTCATGGAATTAAAAGCAAGTGAAAACAGGTTTATGGATAAAAAGGAAAAAATTGAGTGAAGTCAGGAAGGGAAGGTAAATGCCAAAACATTAACAGTTATTTCAACCCAGGCAGTCTTGAAGACTAAGCCCCGAGGGAAGTAAGAGCCTGAAGTGTTTCTCCTTGTCATGGGGCGCATGACTAAGCATTTGGAAAGCAGCTATGTTTACTGTCTTTCAGACTGCCAGACTCAAATATCTTAGGTGCCACTTAATCTTTTTCTGTGTGCTTAAGAAACCATCAGGGCAGGGTTTTTTTCCCCCTGACTACAATAATCTGCAAGGTTTCACCCTTCACATTTATGTCCTCTCTTACTAAAACCTAAGTTTGGCCACTGCTCATGTATGTGGCTTTTGTGGCATTATCAGGTGAATTTAAGCCATTGCCTGTAGTCCAGTGTGACAAAATGAGTGAGTTCCTCTCTTCTCAGGCCTAAAGAACAAGCCAGGCTATGGTCATCTTAAACCACCCAGTAAGGTTACTAAACCAGGACCATTTTTCCCACTTACACACTATTTCAATCACTGAAACACTGAGTTTTGCACAAAGTTTTCTTATGCCCAGATAAGGATCCCCAAAGACCACCAACAGCTGATTCCAATGCAAGTACCTCATATCCTCTGATATGATTTACTGCAGAAAAATGATAAAATAATTCTAAAAGATGATTAGTGTAACCAGTGGCGGGAACTGACCAGGTACTGGGGATTGGCTGGTTCATGGGAGATTCTTCGAAATGATTGGCTTAAGGTTGGAGCCGCAACAGTAGTCTTTCACTTGCAGGAACACCTGGAACTTTCTGTTTTCCCTGTTATCTGCTGATTAGCTGTAGTTAGTGGAATTTACCATAGAGGGTTGTTCCTGGAATTTGAGCCCAAGGGAATCAAGGGGAGTTGCTGACACATTTCCCGGACAAAATGGAATCCAAACCTAAAATTGCTCTATTTTGTTCAGGCTTCACAGTTGATTCACAAGGTAGCTGTGCATGGAGGGCAAAGACCACCGCAAGAATATAGAGTTTGGGGAAATCTATTATATGAAAAAAGCAGAATCATCTGAATCATGGAGAAAGGTGACTGCAGGTGAAGTAATCAGGTCTGCATGGCTCTTCATGAGGCATATGCTCAGAAAATAGCTGCTTCCGTATGATTTCAATTTTTGGTGCTCACGTGTCAAAATAATCCATCAGGGCTAGATACGTAACACACAGGTGTAATTCCAGTGCTGCAGAAGGTGAGGCAGGAGGATTTTGAATTTGAGGACAGGCTGAGCTGTAGTAAGACCCTATCCCCAAAAATGTCAAAAAATGTCACCTAGGAGATAGCTTCCAAGGTGCAAATGAAGTCTGTTTTAAACAAGTTCCAGAGAAGTAATCTAGCAGTGATTATCATGCTAAACAGTAGTGCTGTCTACAGTAGAAATAGTGGAGGACTAACAATGTATTGCTCAGTTGTATGCTGAGTTATTAGTGATGTGTGTGTGTGTGTGTGTGTGTGTGTGTGTGTGTGTGTGTGTGTGTGTAAGTTCATCTGTCACCAAAGCTCATAACATATTTTATGGAACATTAGTATATAAATGTCATTAGATACCTCACATTTATTTTATAAATTTTGAAACCAAGACTTAAAGCTATTCAGTGATATATTCAGGGTTACAGATAATCATAGAACCAAGACTAAAAAGAGGAACTGCTTGGAATAAAGAACTGGAGTGAGTTACAAATGTGTCCTCTTAATATGGTTCTCTAGCCTACAAGAACCTTGATATCCTCATGGGTGGTAGATGCTACAGCAAATATTCACAAGGTACTTACGTTATGCTAGGCAATAGTTTTATTTTCCTTTTTTCTTACTGTAGCCCAGGCTGGACTCAAATCCCTCTTTGCAAAGTGCATGTAACCTTTAAACATAAGAATAGCTGGAGATTTTTACTTTGGATTGGGTTTGGCAGATATAAGAATCTGCCAAGGGCGGGGAAGGTGGCTCAGTGATAGAGCACTTGCCTTGCATGCTTGAGGCCCTGATTCCTCAGCACCACATAACAGGAGGAAAAAAAGCTGGAAGTGGTGCTGTGGCTCAAGTGGTAGAGTGCTAGCCTTGAGCTGAAGAGCTGAGGGACAGTACCCAGGCCGAGTTCAGGCCCTACGACTG